AAAAGTTAGCTAGCACCATTCTAAGAAAGTTTTCTTTAATCATTATGTACTGATAACACTTTTTTGAATAACAGAGAAGGACAGACTTCAGCGGAAGAGGGGCAACGACTGTACGGAAAATGCTCGGGGAATGAGATTTACCATATTCGGCTCGGCGATAGTAGATTCTTTGGAGAATACGAAGGAAAGAGCTTCAGTTACGCATCATTTCATGCACACCGAAAGTGAGTTGTGTATTTATTTTTACACAAAGTTGATGCAAGATAAGCTAAAATAACAATGTCGACACAGCTAGTTCTGTTTATCGCTAGTCGTAGATTACAGTAGAAAAGCGTTGCTACCAACAACTCTCTTTTTGTGATTTAGAATCATTTCACAGCTAGTTCTGTTTATCGCTAGTCGTAGATTACAATAGAAAAACGTTGCTACTAACAACTCCCTTTTCGTGATTCAGAATCATTTTTGTTTACAAATAACATATTATTTTTGTTTTAATTAATCCCACCAATACTGCTCATCTTTCAATCAATAGGTTTGGTGTGGCTTTGGTTGGAATCCAGACGGACTTGGCAGGGACTTGGCCTATAATGTTGAACCCAGGTCCATCATATGTTTTGAAAATGTCTGATATTTGTTTCTATATGAGTATTACCAAAGAAGAGAACAGTGCCTTTTTAACAAGTTCTTCTGGAGAGGAAACAAAGTCTAAAAATTCAGGAAATGATAAAGTTTTACAAGGTCATGAGCCTGAAGACCAGACAAAAGGAAGAAGAAAATCAGGTAGAAGGTTAAACGTTCTTAATTAAACATCTTCCGAACTTCCTTCTCGAGACATAACATGTTATTAATTACAATAACAGTTTTTATTTATGCTGACCACCTATAAATTATAATATTATATTTCCTACACATGAACTTAATTCATAACCTTTGATGTGACTTTATCATCAATATATTTTGGTCATATCAACCCCCCCCCAAAAAAAGTTCTGAACCTATATTTAGATTTATAGTAGTTAATGACTTTTAGTTTTAGTTATAGATATTAATTTTACACTAATAAGTTTAATATTCATTATGAGTAACAACATTAGTTAATAATTCATCCCTAAAATATACAGGCGTTTCTATTATACTGAATTGATTTAAAATCTCTTTAGGAAGGAAAAATTTCATACTGAATGTGATGGAGTAAAACTCTTTTTAAATATTATTATTTCAATCAAATTTTTCTGCGCCATTAATATTCAGAGTGTAGTACAGTGAAGTGTATGTGCATTTGCGGTTTCATCGAAAATATTGAGATACAACTTAATATTATTACGATATTACTAATATTTTAATAATTATTAATACATTTTTGTGGAAATATTCCATTTTATGTTTTACTTTTAATGGAAAAAGTTTAATCGACCGCCAAGATTCGTCGAATTGCTACAATTCTTGGTAATACTATTTAAAGTTTTTGAAATGTACAAGAAATAACTGTATTTTTCGTTCTGATTTCTTCATCATTTTATCTAATATAAGGCAAGTATTTGAAAAATATTTTAAGAAATACAACCTTAGATTATACATTTTTTTATGACACCTCTTTTGTCCTGGTTTCAACTGATTAACTTGGAATGGCGTGCTTTTAATATGCTATACAATGCCATGGAAACGAGTAAAACTTAAGAAACCTTTTCAACAAAATAATTTTGTGAATTATTCACATCTTTGTTGATAAACTGATATGTCCCCTGGTGGGATAGCAGTAAGTCAACGGATTTACAACGCTAAAACCAGAGGTTCGATTCCCCTCGGGTGACATAGCAGATAGCCCGATGTGACTTTCCTATTTATCACACACACAAACTGATATTTTTATCGGAAGTTTCGCTTTTAAAGAAACGTGTGATTGAGAATTAGTTGCGATTTCAAACCGAGAGCGATTGAATCACATTTTAAAAATTGATATTACAAGAAGGAACACAACGATAAACTCTCTATAGCTGTGAAATATATTAAACTGCATATCTAATTGTTTAAAAACTTTATATTTACCCCTTATCACTCACTCCGAAGCTGGCCTAACGCTCAACTCGCAATCTGTGGGTTGCGGTATTCAAACCTTGCACCAAATATGTTCGCCCTTTTAGCCATGGGATAATATAATGTTATGGTTAATCCTACTATTTGTTGGTAAAATAACATCCCAAGAATTGGTGCTAGGTGCTACCTCTTGTCGACATATCAAAATCAAAGACTACGGTAGCTTTGACATAAATAAGAAAGGAAAAACCTTTCAAGCTAATTTATAAACAGCAGCAAAACCGAAATTATCGAGAAAATCGTGAAAACTCTTTTACTTGTTGTTCATTGATTATATCTTTGTTCTTCTTTGTTTAACATGACTAGAATTTTATGTTTGATTGTTGGTTTGACAGCAAAGCCATACTGGGCTAGATATTTTGTCCATCGTGGGGAATCGAACCCCTGGTTTTAGCGTTATAATTCTGTAGATATACCGCTGTCTCATCGTGGGACAGAAATTTATAATGAAAAAGGAAAATTGATAATATTCGCATATTTTGATACATTCTAAAGCACTGTTTGATAGAGAGTGTTCGTACAAGAGTTTCTTTTGATTTCAATCAATTCTTCTTTTTTACGTTAAGCTGTAAAAAGTAAGGTTAAGACAAAATTTTCGTAACTTTTTATAGTTTATTTCTATATGGCAAAGATACTAAGGCTACTTGCCACTGTCCCTAATTTTGAACAGCTCACCATAGGGAATGGTACCGACTGTCAGTACCAACAAGCAACTCTTTACTAACAACCATGGGATTGACCGTAACTTTATAACGACCTCACAGCGTGCATGTTCGCCCCGAGTTTTGATCTCGCAACCCAAAGAATGTGAGTTTAGCGCACTAGCCATCAGGTCAACATTTATATATATTTTAATGCAAAGCTACTTAATGGGCTATGTGAGAATCGAGCCCCAAATTTTCGCGTTATACGCTTGGAAGCTTACTTCTGACACACAGAGGAGCCAGCAAGAAATTAAACTGTTTGCAAAATTCAATTCAGAGAAGAAGTAATAAATTACTTAAATTTGTACTATGATTATAATAAACTATATAAAGGCATATAAATTAGTTATATAGTTTTAGTTATGATAAAATATGTTTTACAATCCCGATGAAAATCAGTGACAACTGAGGAAGACGTTTCATCAAAACTAAATCAACGGTCAGATCACCGTTTCAATAATTGCTAAACAGCTGTTCGAACAAATAGGCCTTGGAATAGGTAGACATCGTTTCAAATTCATATTTTACTGAATGAAGCAACCACTGTTTAAAAATGTTTAGCAGTCGAATTCAAATGTGATAAACGGGTCATTCCTTCAAATAAAGCATTACGCATACTAGTGTTACAAAACAATATTGCGTTTGTTTGATTTTAAAGGAGAAATCGCTTATAAAAACTAAAGTGCATTCCATGAAAATATAGTAATTGCGTTGTAGGTCTTACTACTTCTGTATAAGGATGTATAAGGCGTTAATTTTCTTTTAGGCCCGGCATGGCCAGGTAGTTAGGGCACTCGACTCGCAATCTTCGGGTCGTGGGTTCGAATCCCCGTCACACCAAACATGCTCGACCTTGGGGGCGTTATAATGTGACGGTTAATCCCACTATGCGTTGGTAAAAGAGTAGCCCA